AAAAAAAAAAAAAGAAAAAAAAAAAAGAAGAATTAAAAAATTTATATATATATATGTCTATGTAAACAAAGTGGCAAATTTTATATGCTAAAGTATAGGGGGGTGTTGGAAAAAAATAAGTTATGGACCAATATCACAACGACCATTTATACGATTTTTTTTTTTTAAAGAAGTATATAAATATATATATATATATAAATATATGTCCTGGGTATTTTTTAAAGTTCTCTGTTGTGCTGTAAAAAATGTGTGGATTTCGAATCAGGCTGATTTTTTCAGAGCCATTAATATAATATTTAAAGTTGAGTTCACTGGATTATTTTTTGTCTCGCCCGATGATTTCTGACTTCCAAATTGATGACGAGTGAGTTTTTCTTCTTCTCCTTCCGTGTACAATTATGCCATAGATTTTCTTTCGTTTTAGAGCTGTTCTTTGAGCAAGACGAGGAAATAATTTATTATTATTATTATTATTATTTTGCTAGTGGATTTTTGAAAGGAAAAAAAAAAAAAAAAAAAACCCAAACACCAAAGTATCTGATACTTTCTTTCTTTTTAATTATTATTATTATTATTTACGACGCGTGATGTTTTTGTATAATAGATCTCACCTTGACCGTTCCTAAGGACTGTTTTGCTTTAATCTGCTTCGAAGTTCGTTTGTCTTATGTGGTCTTCATTGTTGTACTTACCTTAAAATAAACCCGTGCTGTTTTGTTCTGCTCCAAGTCTGGCGCTCTGTGTGTACGTCCGTGCTTTATGCAACCATTTCCCTCCACCTTTCCTTCGTGTGACGCTCGTTGTTTTAAAAACCAAGTCGTTTTTCCCGCAGCCGAAAGGTTGATTAGGGTTTATTTCTCGGATAAAGGTTTAATTCAGGCTTGGGGCTGATGCTGGGCAGCCTCTCTATTCCAAATCTTTGCCCTTGGCCTCCAGAGGGAAGAAGGGAGCAAAAGCGGGGTGGGGAGGGGGGATTCTGCGTCTGCCTTCCCTTCTGCCCTATCCTTGCAAGCTCTGCTTCGCTGCGGTGCCCGCACTGAGAGTTTTTCCAATCGAAAGCAAAACCCCATTTTGAAAGCAGCCCGAAGCGAGAGCTGGGAGTTCTCTCTTAAACCTCCGAATCTCAAAAGAAAGCGGAAAGTCCACACGTAGGGGCCGTTTAACAGCTTTTTATCCCCTCCCGCGTGGATATCTGCCTGCTTTCAGCCTCCCCTCCATCCCCCTGAGCTGCTGCTCTCACTGACAGACGTTCCCCAAACCGACGTGAACCTGTTAAAGCTGCTTTCCACCCCCATCCTAAAACTCAGGGACGCAGCAGGCTGTAAGGTGCCGGGGGAGCCTGGAGGAGGGAAAAGCTCCTCTTATTCAAAAGATTTCCGTGCCCGGCTCCTTTCCCCGCTGCCGGCACAGCGAAAGGGCTCCGCGGCTCAGCCCCGACGTGACCCGGAGGCGCCTCCCGGCCCAACCCATTCCACAGCCCCATCCCCTCTGTCGCTGTACCGGGGCTAAAGGAACCGTTCCGTTCACGTTGGCCTTTAGAAATCGATGACATGAATTGCTTTTGATCGCTGACGTTTGGCACGCGCTAGAAATCTGGCAAAAAAAGCACTGAAACTCTCGGTTTAAGTAAGGAAAAAAATGCCCGACACTCACTTGATCTGTATTTTAAGGAACATTTTTGTAAATCTCTTGCCATTTTTTTTTTTTTTTTCTTTCCTGGCTCTGAGAGGGTGGTTTTTTTTTTTTCTTTCTTTTTCCCCAACATTTTTTTTTTCTTTTTTAGTTCCCCCAACAAAATCCAAAACGCTGTTTTAAATATAATAAAAGGGGTAAGAGCACTTGTTGCCCCAATTCCAACTCCTTTCTCCCTCCCCAGGGCTGGGGAATTCCTGGCTGGTGTCTCTGCCACCCCCCTATCCCCTTCCCTTGTCCTGGGGGACACAGCAGGGCTGGGGGAGGGGGTTGGGGTGGTATTTCTCCTAATATCAATAGTACCCGACAGGGAGATCTTGGGATAGATGTAAAGAAGGGGACAAAGCGCTGTTTGGTGGGGTCTGAGCTGTTCCCAAAGCCTCTCCTTGCTCTGCTCTGCTGCCATCCAGGGATGGCCGGGTTTCAGCCGCTTGGCACAAAAAGAAAAGCCCTCTGTGAGATGCTGAGAGCAGCATAGGGCTGGGAGCTTTCCTCCTGCAGGATCAGGCCGTTCTCTCATCTTAAATCCAGGAACAGCATCCGGGACAGAATGGCTTCGCAGCCTTCCCCCCTAAGGGTGCAGATCTCACTTAGGCTGTGCCTGTCCTTCTGTTCCAAAGGAGCTCAGATCTCATCAATACGTCCCACTCGCTCCTTCTCGTCGGAGGAATTCTGTTGGGGGCTCATTTAGCAGGCGAGGTGAGAGCCGAGTGAGTGCTGCAGGGACGATTTTGAGCCCGATTTCAAAGCCGTGACGCAGGGTTCGATAACGCGATAGGCTTTTGTCGTGACAGGTGATGGCTGGGGCAGAGAGGGAGGAAGAAATCCAGGAGGAAAGCATAGGGCAGCTCCTTACAGAAAGCCCCATCCCCTCGAGCCAACCCTAATGTGTCTATTTCCACCCCAGATAATCCCCCCACCTCGTCCCTTTTCCAGGCTCAGCCAACCCTCCCAGCCCTCAGGACAACTTCTGCAGCTGAACGTCTCCCCCCATCCCCCCCCTTAGCAGGTCAGAAGGGCCAAACTCTGCCCCAGCGGGGCTGCCTGAAGCTGAAGGATGCACCGGGATGAGGCCCAGCGCGGTTCCGGGCAGCGGATGAGGCTGGTGGATGGGTTTTTCTTGCTGCATTGCCATCAAACTATGGTTTTGCAAACCTGTCTGAGAGCCCAGACAGCTCTGTGGTTCAGGAGGGGAAGGGCTGGCGGGTTTGCAGCTCGTTCCCGCACCACTGCTGGGAATTTCCCTGCATTGACTGTCCCAGGGAACATATCCCTGGTGCTGCAGGACCCGTGTAAAACTTTTTCCCCTTAGGAAAAACCCCGGCTTCTCCACAACCCCAGGCAGAGAACTGTCTGCTCCCTCTGAGCCATCCTACACCTCCTAAAGATCAGCAGCGCTCTGTGGGAAGGAGATTTTGGGGCAAGGCTGTTTGCTTTTCTGTCACTTCGGAGAGGATTTTGCAGAAAATTCATACCAAGCATTGAGGAGCCAGGGGAGAACTAAAAATACTCCCAGCCCCTTACCAGCATTGAGCGATCTTGTGATTGTAAAGCACTGTGCACGGCAGCTCAGGGTGAGGGGTGGGCATTTCCAAGTGGCTTGGGGTCATTCGCAATGGTCAGCTGGGGATGAGGAAGCCCCTTCTGAAGCAGCTCCTCCAAGAGCTGGATGGGCTCGGACACTGTTGTTGGGAGGGCTGCAGAGGGGAGTGCTGATTTACATCCCTGCTTCACAACGGGTTGGGTTACAGAGGGAGTGGGGAGCATTGATTTACCCCTCTCTCCTCCTGGGATCCCTGGGTGAAATTGCTCCTCTCTGCTGCTTTAAAAGGGGACTGTCAGCTGGAGAGGAGGGGAAAAACATCCAACAATGCCTCTGTTGCCGGATCCACATTTCTTATGTTCAGAGAATGAGCTACAACAACAACAACAACAACATTCCTCCCAGCCTCATTGCTCTCTCTGATCCTCTCCCTTCCCCGGCCACCCCATTGCCTGTGCACATAATGCAGAGATGCTGCCGACAGGAGACAGACACACATGGGTTGGGAAGAAGGAGAAGACATAAAAGCCTCATCCCCGCCTCCAAGGATTTCCTACTGTAAAGAGGAGGAGAAGGGGAGGGGGGGGAAGAAAAGGAGGAAGCAACAATTTTACTGGGGGAGGGAGCTTGGGGAAGCCCTTGTGTCACTTTCCTGCCATACGCACGAGTATTTACTGTTTTAATAATCTGCCTTTGGAGTGTCCCAGGAGCAGGGTGTCCCCGAAGTGGGGCTGTGCGGGGGGATCGTGCTGCCCTGTGAATGCATCGAGAAGGTGAGAACAGCCGGGCTCTGCTCCATCCCTCCCCATTGAAGATGCTACCGGGGGGCGGGGCTACCCAGGAATGCCGATCTCCAACGTTCAGACAAAGGGCTCTCCCCACTCCAATCCCTCCTTCTGCTTTGATTTATTTCGGGTTTGCATGGATGGCACGCCTGATGGTGCGTGTTAGCAGCAAAGGAGGGGTGAGCAGAGTGGGTTTGTCCCTCCCTATCCTGTCCTGGGATGAGTCAGTGAACGGAGACGGTACCCATCCCCTTATCAAGGAGCCACCTCCTTCTCCAGCCCTGTGTTTCTCAGGCTCGCTGTCCACTGCTTGCAGCATCTCAGCCTCCGTCCGTGCTTCATAGCTCTTAAAAAAATAATAAATAAAAGGGAGGTGTCGTTAATCAATCATTTGTGACTCCATATGAATCCCGCTAGCTTTTGTCTGTGGATTAAACCCCTTCGCCTGCTCCATTTCTTGGGAAATGGCATAAACAGATGAGAAACCCGATGGGCTGAGAGATCCTGCGTGGAGGGCCGGAGGGAGGGCTGGCTGAGCTCTGCTTTTACTTCCTCACCCACCATGGAAAAGTCCCACCACGGCTGCTATAAGCGGGTGAAGAGCTGCATGTGGGGGTTTATTTCTCTTAGAAGCCATTCCCAAGGAAGGGATGTTTCCTGATTCAGGTCTTGTTTCTCTCCTTAAACAAGCAGGGAATGGGCATCTGTTGAGATGCTTCTCTTGAGCATCTCCTGTTCACCACTTGTTTCATTTCTATGGCCTTCTAACAGGGAACATCCTCACACCCCATCTCTATCCCACCCCCATCCCATCTCTATTGTATTCCCCTCCACATCCCACCCCCATCCTCATCCCCATCCCCATCCCCATCCCCATCCCCATCCCCATCCCCATCCCCATCCCCATCCCCATCCCCATCCCCATCCCATCCCATTCCCACCCCCATCCCTGTCTCTGTCTTCCTCTTCCCTCCCCCAAAGGAATGATGCTGTAATTAACACAGGGAGCCTGGGGAAGCAGCCGACACCTCTGACTGCACCAGAATCCCTCAGGGCATTGGATTAAAGCTGTTACATCAGCAAATTTAATAATAATAATAATAATAATAATAATAATAATAATAATAAATAATAATAAGCCAACAACAAAAAACACAGACCCAAACCTGGACATTTATACAGAAAAAGAGCATTACAAATTCCTAATGTAAGCACCGGCCAGCTGTGTGCACTTGTAAAGTTGTTATAATCCCCCTCCTTGTTATAAACAGGAAAGTACATAATATAAAGCAACAGGCCCGCATTCACAAATACTGACCCTCCCCCCCCTCCTGCCGAGCTCCCCCCTCATCTCCCCCCCCAGCCTTCTGCAGCCATTGGGGACTGCGGGGCTCAGCCTTACGCACCTGCCCCCCCCAAACAAAAACCACAGAATCCTTTTTTCCTCCCTCCCCATCAGCAGCTCTGTTTTCTCCCCTCCTCGATCCCTTTTCCTCCCTTTCTCCCCTTCCATTTATTTCTCCTTTTATTTATTTTTTTGTTGTTTCACAGCCCCGTTTTCCTCCGAGGATCCTCTCCCTCTCCTCCCCGAGCTCCAGCAGTGCACATCCTGCTCTGCTGTGTGTGCTTACAGCGTCAAAGGGTGGACGTGATATTTCAAACATCAGATCAGTGCGTTTATATATTGGGTGCCCGGAAATTTTTCCAAATAAACACAGCTTGATTCGACTTGGGTGGGCAGACTTATCAACAGACTAATTCTATAAACAAATGAAGGAATAACCCGGAGACCATTGGCTGGTACCAGCGAGACACGTGGAGTGAGCTTGGAGTTTTGTAGCAATGAAATTTTAATTAATGTGGGTGGGCTGAGAACACAAACGACTGTTTATCAGAGACAATTTATTTTCCAGTGCTAAGTCAACATATAATAGCAAACTTACAACAATTATTTAACTTTTTTTTTT